CGGCCGCAGGCTGGGAAGGCGGCTGCCAGCCCTTTTGATCAGCAGCAAAGGGAACGGGAGGAGATGCTCCCAGCTCCGACAGAGCAGGGGCTCTTGGAGGTTAATCTCCGCTCTGATGCTCCACACGCCGCAGTTCCTCCCGGTGGAAAGCTGCCACTCATTATCTTGGCAGATCGCATCGGAGCACAGCAGTCCAACTACCAAAGCTCTTTCCCCGCTCATAAACCCTCTGAACATTTTCAAAGGCCCTGCAGCTTGCTGAAGTCCAATTACCAGCCCACTGGCTTTTCTTCCCAATTTCCCTCCTTGCATCCTCTCACTCGCCAGCCTGTTTCATCTCCAAAACCACATGCTGCCGAGGTGCTGGGAAGGGGCACATAGCCATTCAGGCAGAGCTTTCTTTTGGGAATAAGCCGCCCCAGCTCCCCCCCGGGAGCTGTGTGGATGACCCCCAGTACTTACGTCTTGGTTGGACATGTCCCAGTAGGGCCTCTCCCCAAACGACATCACCTCCCACATGACAATGCCGTAGCTCCAGACGTCGCTGGCTGAGGTGAACTTGCGGTAGGCGATGGCCTCCGGCGCTGTCCACCTGACGGGGATCTTCCCTCCCTACGGAAAAAGGGAGAGCAGCTGAGAAACGGCTCCTTGGGAGGAGCCCGGACACCCCTGAGCCAGGGCTGGAGCCCCCCCGGTCCCTGGGGACCCCGCTGAGGGGTGGGCAGGCGGTACCCTATGGGACGAGGAGGCAGGGACCTAAAACACCTCCATGAACTTATCCTGTACCTGCACAAAAGGGCTTAGCTAAAGAAAACAGAAGGGTTTATCCCACTCAGGTGTCCCCCCCGAGTGACACTTCCCCACTGTGGCTGCCCTGCAGGACCCAGCGCATTGGTGGCCTGTCCCCAGCTACCTTCCCAGGGAGACATCAGGTGACAAGGGCTACGCAGGACTGCACTACTCTTGTCTCAGGCAAGGAGCCACAGGTATTCCTGTCCCTTGGGCTTCGATGGAAACAAGGTCTAACCCAAGAGCATCTTCTACGGCACCGTCTGGGCTCCCACAGCTGCTGGAAGCTTACACTTTTGGAGTGGGAGGCAAAAAGCAAAACACCTTTAAGCCCCAAAGGACACTTGGAAAACACTGGAACAGGAAAGTGCCTTTGGCAGAGAGCCCCTCATTTCTCCTAAAACCTCAAAATCAGGCTCGGCGTCTCAAGCCACCCTATCAAGCCAGGGCAGGTCCCAGCTCCTGGCAGGACAGGAAGGGCCATGTCGAGGGGCAGCAGAGGGACTGCTCCTTGGGCAAGCACTGCTAAACTAACAGCAAAAAAAGCCGAGGGATGAAGGAAAACCACAGACATGCACGGTATTTACTCCAGGCAGAATTGCATTGTAAATCGTTTAGCGCAATTGTTTTTCCGTAGCCTTTCCGACGAAGCATCAGCCGCTCTTGAAGGATGAATGGCAAAAAATTTGATTTGAATAACTACAAATGGAGAAATTAACTGCTAGGTTGTTTTTCCTGCCTTTTCCCCAGAGCTAAAAACCTGCTGTGGGAGGCAGAGTGATGTAATCGCAGGCACAGCATCGCTTCCCAGCTGCCGGGGAGATCTATTATGGCCTAAATTAAATAAAAACACAGATGAGATAATCTCTTTTATCTCTAAAGGTGGGGAAAGGCTACTTTGTGCCTCATCCCAGCAGCTACTGCCAGGGTCTTTGAACAAAAAATGAATTGATGGGTCAAAGCGGCTCAAAGGCCACTGCCTGCAGAGCAGGTGTGGGCAGGGAGCGGGGCAGGTCCAGGGAGGGGGGAAACGTCCCCGCGAGCAGCGGAGGAAGAGCCAGGGGCTGCAGCCGGGCCAAAACGCAAAGCCAGCCTCAGAGGCACCTCTCTGGGTCTCCCGTTTCAGAGGCTGGAGCCAGCCCCGGCGCTTGGGCACAGCTCAGCAGCCCAAAACCCTGCTTCTGCGGGAGTCAGTGCCACCTCGTGCTTGCACCCAACACACGCTCTTTTAACCCGTCGATGAGACGAGCTCAATGGGTTGCTCGTCTCCTCCGTTCATCCTCAACACCAGTAAGGGTCTCGCAAGCCCGCTGGCAGGAGAATGGCCATGGTGGGGAGCTGCGGGGTCCCCAGGGCAGCGGGGAGCAAGGGGAGAGCGGAGCTGCCATTATCTATGAATGAGTTAATGAAGGAAAGAAGGGTGGCTGGGGAACGGCAGGGCCCCCATTAGGCTTGTCTCTTTAATTAATGCCTGGAACAAGTTTCCAGCAGAGAAAAGCAGACCAGATCTAGAGCGCTGGGGGAAGGGGAGTTAAAACGCCATCACTGTGCCGTGGGGAGATGCTGTGATCTCCCTCCCTGTGATCTCTCCAGGGACTCCTCCATGCACCTTCCCTCCATGAAGGAGAGGGAAGAGGCTCCTCCGGAAACTGCCAAGGGCAGAAAGGTGCTTGGGGGAGGAGGGAGGCAGAAAACTCATAAAAGGGAGGCAGAGAAAGGAGGGAAAAGAGGATGATGGGTAGCAGCCACAGCCAGGGTCTACAGGTCACGAGTCCATGTGGTGGGAACACTCCCAAGATGCTCCCACTCATGGTAGAAGCTCCAGGGCGTACGTCCAGTGCCCTTCTCCCAGACTCAGCCAGCAGCGGGTGCAGGGCAGACATGGGGGATGCTGAGCAAGCCCAAAAACCTTGCGAGAGGTACGTACCAAGGAGCTGGTGTAGGTGGGGTCGGACGTGTCGTCCTGCAGGTAGCGCGAGAGGCCAAAGTCCGATACTTTGCACACCAGGTTGCTGTTGACCAGGATGTTCCTGGCAGCCAGATCTCGGTGCACGTAATTCATCTCTGCAAGGTACTTCATCCCGGCGGCAATTCCTCGGAGCATCCCCACCAGCTGGATCACTGTGAACTGCCCGTCATTCTGCTGCGATAGGAAAGAGCAGGCACCGGGCTGAGCGTGCAGACCCCACTGCGGGACCAGAGTGGCTCACCGCCAACCTTGGGAGGGTGCTGCACCTCCCCAGAGGACTACCCAGCTGCCCTGCCCTGCCCGGTTAAAGCAGAGGTATGCCACCACCAAAACATGCGTGGTTTAGGGGTGTAAGCACGCTGCAACCAGCTCCCAAGCTGAGGAAACACACTGGGATCGACAGGACAGGATGCCACCACCTCGCTCCTGAATCCCACAGCTGAACAACAGCCCACGCGGCCCCAGCTCGCCTTACCCGCAAGAAGGAGTCCAGGGCCCCGTTCTCCATGAATTCTGTGATGATCATGACCGGTCGACTTTTGGTCACCACTCCTTCCAGCCGGATGATGTTGGGGTGGTCAAACTGCCCCATGATGCTGGCTTCGCTCAGGAAATCCCGGCGCTGCTTCTCGGAGTAGCCGGCTTTAAGTGTTTTGATGGCCACATAGATCTCCCGCTTGCCAGGTAACTTCAGGCGTCCTTTATACACTTCTCCGAACTCCCCTGCAAGTGCCAGATCATCTGCTACCACCTCCTCCTCCACATAAAACATTGCTAAGAGTAATGGCACCTTGAGCTGCTTGGTCTCCAAACCAATCAGCTGAGAAACGTCAGCCAGTTAACACTTCAGTGGTGCTCTCCTCTATAAATCTACTCGCCTGTCCTCTTTAAAAGGGGCAATGTCTGCTACTGAGGACACATATGGGCTTCCAACCTTCTCCAAGGTGACAGAGCCCCGCACCAACAGAAGCAGAGGCTGGGGCCACTCTTGCAAACCCCCGCAAGAAGGATTTGCAGAGCAAGAGCATCAACATTTAAGGACAACCTCAAATATAAGGTGTCGGCGTTGATAATCTCAGTTGTCTTTTCGCACTTCACTTATCTTGGCATAGACAACTAGTTGGGCTGCTTTCATTGCTGCCCTCTGATTTGAAATACAGAGAAAGCATCCTCTCATTTTCAGCGGGAGAGCTTTTCCTTCAGCAAGGTACAATTTGCCTGTGGAGGGATTACATTTAGGCCAGGTTTGCAGCCACTTTGCCTTGATGAGCAGCAACATGGCTGAACTTGATTCTGACCGACCCAGCTCTCTGCTGCTTTGCAGCTTCCCCCTGGCTTCTCACTTTCTCTTCCACAAGTACGACACAAGTTATTTAAAAATGGCAATAAAAGCAGCAGGGATGACATACAGATACATGCACGTGTGTGTATATATACATATGTATGGCGGTATGGCACAGACTAGAGCGAGCTCTGGCTTTCTTCATGTTATCTCATGGAAAAGCCAATTAGGAAATGCCAAAAGGCCCCACGGTCACCCAGCAAATACGTTCATGGAGCCTTTCCCGCCTCAGAGGAACTTTGAGAGCAGAAACCAACCTTGTGCCCTCCGTAACCCATCACAAACCCAGTCAAGCCTGATGTCTCACGGCCTCCTTGAGGGTTTCCCGGTGAAGGACCCAGAAAATTGCTCCAGGTGGATGCATGGCCATGCAGGAGCGGCGGAGAGGGCAGGGAGGGACGGGCGGCAGGGGATGGTGAGACCCACCTGCTCCAATGACCTCTTCAATCTTCACAAAGGATACGTCGATCTCCTTGGCAAACTCTCGGACCGCCTCGTTGGGGTCCTCGTAAGTGAAGGGGTCAATGTAGATCTTCATCCCTGGAGACCCTTGGTGTGGGAAATTTGGGAGTGATGGCAAAAGGGAGAGAAAAGCAAGAGCAGTTGTGCCGTGGCCAAGAACTGGAGATCCCTGTGCCCTCACGCGCTCCGTACACCTGTTAAGGCGGCGACTATCGCTGTGCTCATCAGCACCGCCTCCGTAGGCCCTTATCATCCTCTTTGGTCCCCCCACTCCACCCAACCCTCCCCTGCATCCCCTCCTCTCCCTCTCTGCCTGCCACTCCTCCTCTGTTATCCTTCCTCTTCCTCCCCACTGCGATGGGGAGCAGTTACAGACCCTAACTACAACCAGCTGCCTTCACAGTGAGGGCTTTACGAGGCTCCATGCGTTAGTAAAGAAACCTTTATTTACCTAAAAAGGCCTCTGATAGTTTTGTGGCCGCTACTAGATTGACAGAGTGCAGCAATTATAATCAACAACCCGTATGGAGCTGTAAAATAGGGCTTTGCCAGCCTCCGTGACAAGTGTGCGGTCCCCTGCACGAGGGCACGGCACAGCAGCAGGATCCGGCCACGCCGCAGGGAGACGCAGGCTCTGCCTCCAGCCCGGAGCGCAAGTGGGCTTTTGTCCTCTTCAAATGGGGGAAAGCCAAAACAGGCCCCCAAAGCCCCCAAATGGGGTTTGCGGACATCGCGTTTGGATGCCCGGGGACTTGCGGAGGGGCTCCGC